TAAACATACAAACAAACAATGTGAACTCTCTGAAATGTTCCCATGAATCCACGACAATTATACGAAATATGCTACGTAAAATAACACATTTCCACACTGAACCGAATTAACTCACGTTTCCGTTTGCCTCTACATGCTTGCCATTACGTCCATTGCGTTCTCCGACCTCATCGCCATTCTCCACCGAATGATGATCATCAGCTGAATCTTCATCACCTTCATCCACATCTCCATTCTTCTTCTCATCATCTCCGGATCCCGAAGATCCCGAATTGCTTCGCGATCGACTGAAAATTCAAATGGTTTCATTAAATCTCTACTTTTTCCTATGATAAACCAAAAATGCCAAAAAAATCCAGTCAATATGAACAACCGAATCACAGATACCACCATAAATTCAACAGTTGCCTATCATTGCAATGAATAATCTTCAAACGTCAACATCTCTCTCGCTCTAATCTTAACCCTGATGCTTAAACGCATTGAAACAAAGAGATGATTTCCCTCAGGAACCTACATGAACCTCGCTGTCATATCAAACAATATAACCAGACAATTCTACCAAAAATATCTTTTTGATAACTAAACATCCAAAAAAGCGCAAAACCCAAAAAAAAGATAATCAACACCTTAGCGGATATCCCATAAATGATAGATATCTCTTCTCACCTGTGCTCTGAAGGTGTTTGTTGTTCTTCATGACCTGCCGTAGCTCCTGCCTCTGTGGTCTCATTCTCTTCATGGTCTGCGACCACCTAAAACAGATGATTATCATTGGCAAGAAATAATTTCATCTAAACCTGATTCAAGTTTACGATCGACAGCTATAGCATCGACGCTACTGATAGAAGCACTAGTAACATTAATAATAATACCATCATTAACAATAACAAAATTCCACATACCTGAACGGCGTGACCGTCGATTTCTTGTTCCGTACCGCTCATTTTCTGAAGAACTTTTTGTGCGCTGTCACTGCTTGAAAATTCCACCAAACTGAAATATTTCAAACAAAAATAATTTCTTTTCCTTCTCAGTACATTTCAAATAATGCAAACACGATACACACCATAAAGTATTTAACACCTAACGATTACACAGAATACTTTCTCTCAATCCTACAATTCAACAAAACAAACTGAACACATTCTTAAACATAATGTGTTCAACGACACTATAACTTCTCAAAACCCTGCACGGATATACCATTGACAATTCCCACAGAAGAGACATCTAAACGCTGATACTCTCAAAATCGCCATGTCTATCTTCCTAAAGCCCTATGAGATCGCTCATGCTACTTCTATGTCCATAGCGGAAGGATAAATTAACACGATATCACATCTATGATTGATAAACTCAGTACATCCCTTTTGATATTATCTTTGAAATGCACAAAATAAAAATAAAATCAAAGATCGCATGTCTACACTTAATATATCATCTACTGCATGTCAAATAAATCAAACCAATACGAGAAAAAAAACTGAAACTTAGTCACTGATCGACATTGTAAACATTTTAAACGATTCAAAAAGTTACCAGAGGAAAACGCTAACAAACAAAACAACAATAATAAGAATAATGAGACAAAAACTGAGATTTCGACCATCGCTGAAGCACATAATGTAACTCGAATGAAACACATGAGCAAATTGAGATGATAACTCAACATAGTCGACATAAGTCGGCCGCTGTTTGCCGATTGGCGCAGTTCGAAATCAGTAGTAAGGAGGCTGACGGCTGCTATGAGGCATTGAAGCTAAAAGCTACGGCTGGCCGCCTAAAGGCTCTAACGACTCGGGCGTTCGGGCTCTATTCAATTGATGAAGAAATGTAGAAGCGGCGGAGAGTGGAAAGAAAGAACACTGCCGATCGAGCAACCGACAACCATGGGAACCGAACCGAAACACCCTTTTGCCATGCTGTGCGATGATTACAGCTGCAGAAATAAGCATACATCTTTCGAACGAACTGCTACTGCTGCTACTTGCTAGCAAATTAGCTTCACCATTCAGTACTCATCGAACGAATAGCTGAATCGTTCATCGTTCATTGTTAAAATCAGAAAGTAGCGAAAACACGTAGATATATGGAAATATATGATGAAGATCGTTAGACAGCTCCTTGGATAATTTTAGTCGAACAGGCAGGCAGCTGGATGAAAAAATGTGTTGCCAGGCACGCAGTTAGTTCTCCCGCCGCTGCTAGTCCATCAGTTAAACCTCCTCACCGTTTCTTCGTCAGAAACTGCTGCCTGCTTGCCAACAACCGTAGAATCGTAGCCGCTCGACGAGCCAAGCTTAGCGAGGACATACCGGCCTGATCTGAGCCAACATTTATTTCACAGGGATACATTGAGGCGCCACGCCATGTTACGCCCATTTCTGATGTATCTTTTCGTCGTATCTTTGCATAACTCATCCCCTCTTCGTTCGATAGAGATTTCCTCGCGTTTTATCCTTTCATATCCCGTGCCTCTCCCCGATCTCGAGCATCTCTCCAAATTTGTTTCACTCTCAAAATCCGCACCCGTTTAACTGCATCACTGTATCAAGCATCACATCATGCATTCGCTCTGGTGGCTGCTCCACAAATAATAACGTCGGAACTCCATTTACTATAAAATTTCACCTCAAAACTCCGCCTTTCAATGTCCTTTTCTCCTCTCTCACCATCGCGTTAAAATCACTTCCATCCATCCATCCATACTTCCCAAAGCCATCGTATTTCCCCGTTCACTCGCTTTTCTTCAAATCCTATTTCCTCCCTAGCAGCATGCGATCCTTCGCAAACTCTTCACGGTTAACAAACGTTTTTTCATCTTCTTGTAACTATCCTCAAGTCTCCATAACTTCCATATTCTTGCCAGATCCTTCGTTCACCTCAACCTTACGATACGTTCACCTTCTTTCATGATGAACGAACAGACCTGTCTCTAAACTTTTCATCTCAAGCCAAGTCTCTTCTTCCGTACATTCTCGGATTCATTTTGCCACCTCGTCGATCTTCCTTCAGTCTTCGCGCCTCTTCGCCTCTGATCTCTTCGAATCTGCACTTATTTCAATCTCTCCTTCCTCATAATCACAAAGATCTTTCTCGTACCATCCAACTACCTCAGGTTATCCCACCACCATCTGCCGACAACAAGCTGTCACAAACCTAAGCTAAACAATGTACTATCTCCGCCTTCCTTACATCTCGAAAGCAATCCATTCATCCACAGAAGTACTCTAAGAAATACGAAAATGCAATCGACTACTCGCGAATCTGAATCTTTTACGAGCGAGCATCCATTCAGATATCAAAATGCCAAGAGAGCATGAAATCATGTGAATATAATCATCTGCCTCCAAATGCGCACTCTTTTCTCTTCTGACATTAATCAAATCCACCCAATCCACTAAGATCTTCCCAACTTCATCAGCTTAACTCCAATTTCATAATTCATGTTATATGAATAGATTTCAAAATGCTTTCATCACACTCATCCATTTTCTAATCACATCTTTCGCATCAGTCAATCAATCAACTCAACTCAATCAAAATTATGAAATATTCACTCAAATAAAAAAGAATCAAAACGATAGATCTCTTAAATCAATCGAGATTGTGTTCGTTGTTCTCACACAAGAATAAAATCTCACGATTCTAATCTTCCCCATACTCCACTCTCACTAATTCACCACTAAGTTACTTCCAATCCAGTGTCTCACCGATGAACTCATACAAAGTAACTCTAATAAATACTCTTAACTCAAACTCAAACCCAAATGCTATCCCCATACTTATCACTCCTCTTCCACTTATCAACTACTTACCTCACACTTTCTTTCCCCTTGCCTAAACCAAATCCAAACCAAACTTTCCAAGCCGAATGCCTGTTCCTACCAGCCACAAACGACAAATACTACACTCTACTATTAATATTTCCTTCCACAGAATGTCTATACGCCAAGTTCGACGGACGGATGATGATGTGCATCGAAGCAAAGTTACANCCATATCACATCAAGGATCATCCATTCAATCTCAGTGTCAATATGTCAAAGTTACACTGCGCTCACACTAAAACCCAACAAAACACACAAAGTTTATAAAAGCTGTTCACCTAAGGTCCGTTCCCTTCCAGTGAGTGATGGATGCCCTAAGCCAACTCTCAAAAGACTCAAAAAATGCTTCCTTCTGATTCGCTATGAAATCGCCCTGCTCCGAATCAGTTCTTCGCTTTTATAACTCAAATTCCTCAGTTTCTATTTAATCTCATCAACTCATCCAAACAAAAACAACACGACATTCAACCAAAACATCGGAATGAATATAAACCAAACTGTCTCCAAACCAACAAATTAATCTAACAATCAATCGGACCAAAAAATCGCCCATTAATATCACATCAAATCAACCAAATACCGCTCAATAAAGACCACAATCTCATTGATTCAAATCACATTCCATCAGTGAAATGCTACAAATCCTATTCGACAACAAACTGATAACCATGACAATAACAACATTCACTGCAATCGCATTCTCAAACATCGCATTCTACTCTGCAAACTAAATACGCTATTCAATATCAAAACGAATCAAACACAAAACCACTCTCTCAACAATTCACAATTCCCATTTTCAAATCAATCCCGTCCAAATTCACAAACCCATCAAAATATCATACTAAAACCACCATACCCAACCAAATCAATCCCATTCACTACAATACAACACTATCATCTGATCGTATTCATTTTCATATGCTACAATCAACATTATACAATACCTATTATATAATTGAACATAATATACATTATATAACCCACCGTACCTAAACTAAACCAAATCCAAATAAGCCATGCACATGCACATACAGATTCACATACAAGCAGTAGTTCCAATTGTGCATGTTCAGCTGAACAACAGTCAACAACAAACTGCTATTATAGTAATAATTATATATCGTATAATATTCACGAAGTTCGTCCACAAACCCCTTATCTCAATACCAGTAATGTAGTGTCTCGCTTTCTATATATCATAACTAGACCCCATCAGACATTNACATTACATAATCTACATCATCACATCGTTTAAATATTGTACAATAATGAATCCAAACCACCAATTTATATGCACAACAGATATCATTACATAATACTATAATACCCTATAACATACCCATGAACAAACAGTCACAGAATCAAAATACGACAATCGGAGACGATGCCATTGCTCAATACTGAATCTCTATTCCTTCCTATCAATGTACTAAAAATTCTTTAACAATTCATGGAAATTGTATATTATATTAGTGATAAGCTATTATCAAAGTACTATTACTACTATCATTATTATTATTATCATGTGCTACTCGATAAAACTCTCTTATTAGTGAACTAAATAATGCGACCGCAATCGCACCATTCATAATACCCTCATTATCAGTCATATTATGAATACTTACAATTTCAAATACAATCCGATATCACTGAAAAATGACAATAACAATAATACCAAAACACCGTCTGAGATAATTACTACCTTCCCGCCATGCGCATCAACGTTTTTCACAAAAAAAAACAACCAAACAACACGATCTTCCCAATTGATCACTCGTAAAATTTTTTTTTGCATTCTCGATGCTCTAAATTTATTACTTCCTCAAGTCTCATGTTCAAAAAACGTTCCCTAACCACCATATCACAAAACATCAACATAAATAATATTGCAACACAAAATACACGCCAATATGAACACTTTCTCTTTACGAATTTTGATACTTTATGAGTTTTTCCTCAAAAAGCAGCGAATTTCTACTACATCAAAAACCATCAACATCCAACAAACTTCATCTGCAAAGCCGAGAATGATCCACT